ACACCAAAGGGTTAGAGTGTAAAAAAAGTAATAGCTTGCAGTTCTTTTAATGAGATGCTAGTAAAAAGTCAAGGAGATTTCTCCAGCTTAAAGAAGTACACAGTAAAAGCAGCCCTACCCATGACCAACATTTCTGTATGCTTTGTAGGTTAGCTGGCTGAAGAAAGCTTAGTGCATCTTTATCCATTTGCCATTTAAATAAATAAATAAACTAGGAGCACCAACCATCATTTCACAACAGATGCCAAGCTGTGATAAGTATGCCTCTTCAATAGACTGACAACTCAAGCGCATCATCCAAAGAATTAATGAACTAACATAAACCTGTTACACTTACTCAGATACCATTCAACCTAGAGCCAACTAACTTGGACTTTGGCCCTGAGGGCTAAAGATTGGACTCAGACTATGTTTACCTCATTTAACCAGCATATCAGAGTAGAGTATCAGCGTAGAGAGCATTGCTCTTTTTAAAATAATAAACAACAGGCTACTGCTTATGGTACGGTTTTGATTAAATCTTAAAAGAATCATACTTTAGATCCATAACTTTCCATTTCCGTGTTTTGGGCAAATCCATCTGATGCAAAAACGTTCACTTTATTTAGCAACTTTAGACTTGATTTCAACCTGCCTGACTACATACTTGGAAAAATTACAATGTTAATTTCTTCTTTGAGAATACCAGAAGAGAAAATTTGAGTTACTTTCTTTGTTGGATTTACTGCAATTTTACTTGAAGAGTTTTATCAGATTCAGAGAATACTGAATCGACATCTTTGCTCTAGTCTTTGCAGTAACGTTTAAAAAACAACCACAAGACTATACAACTAATTTTCCATGTTAACATTAATAGAAATATGTGTTGCTTTTCTGTTTTAACTGAAATCACAGTAGACACCATTATTTTTTAATATTTCTTTGTAAAAGAACCTTAATTTTGTCAATTTTTACAAAATAATCTTATATTGATAGATTCTTATCCTGTAGTGATCTGGAACTCTTTGGCTAAAGCAACTAAAATGACAATAATAGATTAGCTGGGACTTCCTCATGCTCCAAATATCAATATACTTCCTATGGAAGTGAGCCAATTTAGAGGGGGCAGTCGTCCTGAGCATTAGCTCATCAATCCCACTGATAACCCTGGTAGGATTAAGTTTACAGACCACTGTAATCAACTAACTGGCTCATTATGGGACATTATGGTATGGATCCAAAGATCAATGCATTTCTTGCATGTACATACATACCAGCATTACTAAAACACAATACTGATTACAGCCAATGACAAATTGATTGGTAAGATGAGCTCAGCACATTTTTCCCTAACAACAAGGTTTTAGAGTGATCGCTTTGCATAGTAATTACAGCAGTGTAACATTCATCATTGGCTCTGATACATATCTGTGGCTGGCAAATCGCAATCAGATACAGTAGGTATCTAATCTGTGATCTCAAATCAAATTAGGTCTATTTAGACAACCTTGGGGACGTGGTGATGAAACCCTGAAAAAAAAATTAGGAGCTGGAAATTTAATTGTAACGACGGTTATTAGTGAGATAGGAAGATAACAGAGTGTAGGGGTGTTAATCTGCATTAAAATAAAGATGGAAAGAAGATATACATGATGTTTGATCGCATAAAAAATGTATTTCTAGTGCTGATAGAGCAGACTTTATTTTGTACTCGAATTAAAAACAAAGTGCGTAGAACTTCTTCTATGTTCTAAAAGCCTTTGGCCGAATCTAAGGTGACGAGACCTTAAGATGCCACTTTTCTAATTATAGCTGCAGGTGATATTTCAGAGCTGCTAGGTAATGGCAGAACCCATAGGGACAGTAGAGAATTCATCAGTGCTTATTATTAATCATCCCCCAGCAGTGTGATGAGAGACTGGAGCTCTGATACCCACTGGACCACTCAATGTCATTCCAAATATGGCTGGAAAATTAAACCCAACAGCCTTATATAAAACATAGGCTAACAGCAAAAGAGGATATGATTATTTCTTCATGTATGTTTACAATTATGAGCATGAAAGTAACTTCCCTTATATTAAATGTATCCTGATAGCTGTCAGGAATACCTTCCTATGTGAAATACAATTTCTGAGCCAAAGGAATTATAATTTGTTGAGGAAAAAATGTCCCCCCTTTGTTAAAACATGGTGTCTCTACAAAGTGTTGCATAGTGAAGGAAGTGTGTGTTAACTTTGCAGTGCAGAGCCCACGTTTTAAAAAAGCCCCTTGAGACCTGTTAGCTGGACTCCTCATTTCAATGTGTCTGTTTCAGGTTGAGAGAAAGCTTGGCCTGGCCCCTTTACAAGGCACGCACTGCCATTCACCCGCGAACCCCATCCAACAGCCAGACGTCCATCTCCAAGTTTTAACAAGACACGTTAGGCTCATGCCATTCTTTTCTTACAGCTTTTCATCTTAGGACCTTATATTTTTCACTAAGTGATTCACCAATCCACTGCCCATGGACGGAAGTCAGCCAGTTTTATCCTAATCGTCACCGACTTGTGATTATTTGGTCCAGACAAATTATTTTACTTTTTATTTTACCCATCATGGCTGGTTTCATCCATACTATATGTGTCCAAACCCTAATTATATAGACTAGACATTAGTTCCTCAATTTTGGTTTGACTGTAGTAAAAAGTCAGATAAAGATCAGGGAAATATAAATCAATGTAAACAGTAGAGAAGCACTGATTTGGCTTTTTCTGACCATTAGCAATAACCAGTTTTCTTTAAGTTTCAATTTGAGCTTTGACCTGCCAACTCAGATTTTGTCAGGTTATAAAAATACACAAAGATACATAATGTAAAAATGTAAGGGTTCGTAGTTCAAAAGCAAATCAAATTATAAAATTATGCCGTTCTTAACAATCACTGTCATGTCAAAAAAGGGCTTTAAGTTATATTCTGTTAGTTCAAGTATTTATCGACAGAAAATGGCTACAGTTTCTGCTCTTGATGCATTTCATAAATAGAAAAAAACAAATCTGGTTTAGAGCCTTTGATCTGCCAAAAACTGGAAAATCAAAATTCCATTCCAAGGAAAAAACTGGAATTGGCAAATGGATTGAAATAAAACCAGAAACCAGTTTTTGCTGGTAACAAACAGATCTGTCAGCCTTTTTCTAACTTTAGTGGAACATATTATATAACTTTTTAATATAAAGCTTAAAATCAGTCAGATCAGATTTTTGAGGGGAGGAATTCAGGATCTTAAGACATTCCCACTGACACACTTAAACATTAGACAAATATGTCAATGTCAAATTACTTATACCGAATTTTTAAGTGAAACAACTAAAAAGCTTAAAAAAATATATGTTTTAAGTAAGTATATTTTGAGATGCATTAAGCAATCAACCATCATCTCATCATTGGCTATGAGTGGTAATTGGCAGATCAGATCGAGAAATGTCTGGAATTTTGATAAAAGGTAATAAAAAAATGTAAATTTTCACTGGTACACAACAAACAAAATCTACTTTTATGCGCATTTTTTGAGAAAATAAAAATTTTATATCAGTTAATTTAAAGCATAAATGGGGCTAAATGTGTTATTTGTAAAACCAAACTACCTGCATAGCCTATTTTTACATTTTTATGTTTTTAGTACAAGTAAAACGATCTAAATAGGTTCAGAATCAACAAGTAAGGCTTCGAAGACAGTAGGACATCAAGACTGGACAGCAAAGGCCTAATGGGTGCATTCTCTTTAAAAAAAAAAAAAAAAGAACAAAAGATTAAAAATAAAATATCTTTAAGGAAAGAATTATGCAGGATTTTCAATACAGCTTGAAGTAGTAGAGTGGTAGATGGGACTGAGGCAATAATGCAACCACCAGAATATCTTAAGGCATTCTGCTATGGATGGATAACCAGAGAAGGGATCAAGAGGACCCAGACACATTGGCATCTATTGTACTCTACTGGCTTATTTGACCACAGGGGTTCAGCTGCCTCTAAACACTCACACACAAATACGCTTGCATGAAAACTCTCATCAGGCCAAAAGGACAGCACGCATCATTACAAACCTGCGGCGTCGCTCCTATCCCTCTAACCCGATCCAACCCAAAGCATGGCCCTCTGACCTAATCTCCCATTGCTCTTTTGGCAAACTGTCAAAGCCATCATTCACCGTGAAAAGACACGAGAGACACTTGACTCCTTTACTCTGCTGGCGACTGACTTTCACAACTCCTGCCCCCCAACCACCACCTCCAACACACACACACATCCCCTGCAGCTCATTAGCACCACAAGTTTTCATTTCTAAGATGTATACAACGAGACAAAGCTTTGAAAAGCAACACCTAAATGGATTTTTTAATATTTGGAATCTGTTTTAAAAAAGGATAAATGTTAAATTTTTTGTAAATGTCTTTTTCTAGAAGATAAGTGTGTGCAAATTTGTTTTTTAAGGGTCCCATTAAAGTGTTTATTATGTTTATGTGGCGAGTTAGGAGGCCCTCTGGTGGATATAGTGCAGCCATGACATACACACACCCATTGTACACTTTCCCACTGCCCAGACTGGACCGTGCAACTGCTCAGCTCACATTCTTTCACTTTCTCACTCTACTGTTCAGACAGACACACACAGACTTTGCAGACCATCACATGCGTGGCCTGAAACAACTTCTAAATGTGCATTAGCTCCTGGGTACACAAAATAAAAGGTATACATCACAGAAATCTACAAGCAACTACCAGCAAATATGTAAGGAAGACAACAAACTGATAAGAAAGTTTACCAACTGAACAAACAGCTGATTATATAAACACTGCTGCCACTCATAGTCTAGAAAATAAACCAAACAATATAATCAGTCGTTTTGTTTCCTGCCTATACGTAGAACGCCCCGGTGCCGCCTGAGCAGAGAGAGCAGTAGCAGAGCGGAGAGAGGGGGGAGAGCACAGCAGAGTGGGAGTGAGGGACGAGAGAAGAGACGGGGGGGAGAAACACAACTTACCTGCTGTTGTTGCAGATGCAGCAGCTCGACTGTGCTTACTTCGCTGCTTGTGTCACCAGCGCTTGATCTCCCATCTCTACTGCCAGCCTCTAATTGGCTGCTGCTTAGGGTGCTCATTCCATTTTGACTCATTGAACTGTTGCTTATTGTCTCTGTGGCCGACTCCTGCATCATCATGATTTAAAACCTAGAAGTGATTAAGAGGCACCGGTTAGGGCTCTTCTCGTTACAATTCCCACCCCCCATTTCTTTTTTTTTTTCCCCCTCCGATTTTTTTTCCCTCCTCTTTTCTTTTCTTTGCACGCGTCCATTATCAAGCCCTCAGTCCCCCTTTGCAAATTAAAGCATTTAAAGAAGAGGGAGGGGTACGGGGGGATGCAGGAGAAGCAATTATGCATTCATTGTGTAAATGAAGCAATACAAAGACATGCATGTCCTGGTCCTTTCTAGAAACGGGGAAAAATTGTATTAAAAATGTTTAAATTTAGTAAAAATAATTACAAATAAAAAGCACCTAATTGAATTGTTGCTAAGGTAATGACGTTATTAAAAACTATTGGTTTTAATTAAAGCTTTATATTGGCATCTTTAAAAAAGTAGCTTCAAACACACATTTTGGTCGGTTCAAAAGAAGTAAACTAATGATGGAAAGCTAATCATATTAAATTAAAATTTGACAGTGGCAGGAATAGAAAGAGGAAGCTCCAAATAACATGGTGCAGGGCTGGTGATGAACACTATAATAGGTTTGTCATCCTTGCTCTGGCTAAATAAAATCTGCCTTGCAGGGTTCCATAGAGGAGGAGTGCTCATATTTCATTTATTGGCGCCTTTTTTCCCCTCTTTCTTGTTCTTTAATCAATTTTTTTTTGGCTTTTTTTTCCCTAATTTATTCTAAAATTGTGCCCTGATCCCTATAGTTAAAGAAATAATACATAACTATATTGTATGTAGCTGTAACTAAATAAAACTGTAAACAAAATAAAACATTTAAAGTTAAATCTAATACCTTTTACATGGGAAATTAGAAAGTAGGTTACTAATAACTGAGCTAAAAAATAACATTAATTATGCATATAACCGCCTGTCTTTTTAGTAATAAATGTTTTATAATCCTTCCCAACATTTAATACTAAGTACACGCTGTAAGGAGCTTCACTAATATTCGACAGTTTTGCAATATATGAGAGACTCAGATGCTTAATAAAATATAATGCACTTTTATGATCTCTCTATGCAGAGCATATTTTAATGTTATAAACTAATATTTGAAAATGTGTAATTACAGTTTTAAATGGGGTTTCGCATTGTGTGTATTTTCTGGCCTGTAAATACGGTTTTAATAGAAGTGTGGACACGTCCTTCTGTGTGTTTGCGTGTGGGTGTGTGTGTGTGTGTGTGTGTGTGTGTGTGTGTGTGTTTGACAAGGGGCAGATACAGGACAGGCCCTAAAAGATGTCCACAGCCAGGATAAACAGGATCTACGGAGGGAGAACAAACAGGGGCTGAGCTATTACACAGAGCAGGGCGACAGCTGTCCAGGACACAAGTAAATAAGGGAAGAGGCCAGGACAAGGCGTGCTTGTGAACAAACAGGGCCCCTGTTTAACACCGAGCCGCTTACTGCTGATGGAGAAAGACGCGGTGAGAAAAGACAGAAACAGAAAAGACAGGAGGAGGAAAAAGAAGGAGAGGGAGCGTAGAAGCGAGGGGGGTGACAGAGAGAGAGACAGTGGGAAGGAAAATAAGGGAGGTGGTGGCAGGGTAGGGGGTGTGGAGGGGAGGGTGGTGCGGATGGGGGGGGTTTGGATTGGCACAATGTGACATCCAATCCGGTGATGAATCTCAGCATAAGAAACTCAAGGCTGCAGCCGAGATCAGCCGGCTAATAAGTATTCAAATTAGGCATAAATTTTACATGCCCAATGTTTAAAATATTCAGAGAAAGACTGTCTGATTGCCTTTACTACCATTTTATGAACATTCTAATGGAGCTCGGATCTCTCCGTTTTTTTTGTGCTTTCTTTCTTAGGCCGACACGGAATGTTCGGAAAACTTGCAAGATATATGAGACAAGGAAATAAGGATTTTTAATATCATCTGAATAGAGGCAAACCAAGAAGAAGAAAAAAAACAGTACTGGGATTTTTATTATGTGCTTACTCAAAAAGGAAAAAGTTAATGTCAAAGAAAAGAATAATCATTTACATTTTTTATAAAAAAAAATCTACAATCTTATCTTCTCAATCCAAAATGAAATCTGTCTTTTATGGCTAGCTGCAGCTTCATGATAATGCAGATATATGCAAAACATATTCGCAGAGATCAGATGGTGCTTTAACCTTAATGACAGCGGTGAGATAAATTAATTAGCCATCTAAAGGCTGCATTCAAATCTGCCAATTAGAATGTCAATTAGGAACACAGCCAGGCTGCAGTGACGAGGGCTAACCGAGCCAGGGATCTGACTGGGGGTGATGAAACTGTCACACAATGCACACAAGAGGCAGATAGTGACAATCCTGAGGATGTAACTGCATGAAGTACAGATCTGTGTTTTCATCTGATGGGGTACTGGAACTGACCAGGGCACAAACTGCTCTTAAACCACTGGATTGGAAAAAACCACAGTGTTTTCCAGGGTCCTGCATTTCATCACAACTGTTTTTTCATGCCATTTCATCTGAAACCATAATCTTCCAATAAGCAAGAGCCTAGACCAGTTATTATCATGATCAGATGCTGAGAGGAAGGCTGATATTACCTGGGAACACACTGGTGATGCTTTAGCTGTATCTCTAATGGAGAGGAGAATATAGAGATGGTGACACAAAGGTAGTGGGATGGGAAGCAGATGGTGTCACTAAAGACGCACCAATCAACTGATAAGAAATCAGAATACACAATTTTTTCTTTATATAATAGATGTAAATATTTTTTTTTTATTAATAAAGATTTTCCAAAACATATAAACTTATTGCATTTGTACTCTGATACACTTTTTCATTTCCATTTTAAAAAAGTTTTAAGATAGGAATATGCTTCGTTTAAGTGGGTAAAACTTGTTATTCTTGATTTTCTATTTTTGCAACTGTCAAATCTTTCACACACAAAAACACAGAATAATGCTGTTATGCACAGACTTTAAGCAAGTAAAATTTCTATGAACAAAAAGTTTTCTTCTTGCAGTAAAATTGCAATTAAATTGCATTAAAGTAGTATGATAAAGGCTTTGATGCAACTACAATTACCACAGACAAATGTTAAGTGTATAAAATGGTAATAACATTATATTATGAATGATCTACATAAATGTAGGTGTTGCCTTTCAATTTGTTTATGTTAAATATCAGGGATCCATGAAGTGCTTCCTGATGAGGTGTATTGCATTTTTTTGTCCATGTATCTAGGCTTATCAGCTCGATCCTAAAATGTTGGAAGAAGTGGGAGAATTTCTGCTGTTTTCCAACAAGTGACACAACAAAGGTTTAAGGAAAATTGAACCTTTACTCCCACACCAACCTATCATTAAAGGGTAAAAGAAGCAGCCCTCCATCTTTGTTTGCAAGCTCTAAAAGCCCTTAATGTAGCCTCATTACCTGGCCTGTCTCCTGCTCTATCATGTGCCGTAAACACACACCGTGACACTGACCATCCATCTAGCTAGAGAGCGCAGCTGTCTGCTCCGAGAACACTGAGGAATTTACCGTGATCCTGTGTTAACACACTGCTGCCCTGACACCGGTTTCATCTCCGAGACATCCATATTTTTCGGCGTAACGACATTCTCCATTTCCTTATTTCATATGCATGAGTTGCCAAAAATATTTTTTTTGTACCGAGGATGAAAAGAAAAAAGAAAAGGAAAAAAAAAAAGTGACCTGTAAACCCGTGATCCCAGACGTGTGTTCGTTATCGGTTCACGTTTCAGGTGGCTGCCGGGAATTCTTTTGGGATTGAAGAGATCAAAACAATAAGAAAAGAAAAAATAATAATAGAAATTACATTTCACACTCTGATGACTCCCCACAGCTCTCTGATCAAGCCAAGATATGGTTACCATTTAAAATAATCACAGATTCTTTGCTTGAGTGAAATTAATTCATCATTGCCATAAGTTACTGTGCATGCAAAATAAAGAAGTAGCTCTGCAAGGGCAAGAGCTCACATATTTAATACTTGAGATTGCTTAATAAATCAAAATGCCATACATGCACTGACAAAAAAGAGTTGAAGAGAGAAATCCAGAACAGCCTGAAACTTCAAGAAATTTACTTAAATTTTGATTGTCACTGTTTGTTTCAGTTATTCTTTTATTTTTGCAGCATTCCACAAAATACAAATACAATTCCTAGATGTTTAGAATGTAGAATTAAAATGGAAAAACACAATTCCCTCAGATTAAGTAAGGGAAAGACAGCCTGCTGCACCTTAGAATTAAAAGCTTCCTTTTTGGCACTAAAGGACCACCATAAAGAAGCATTAATGACTACTTCTTATAAACCTGTGTACGGTAATGGTTTCTGCTCACAGATACAGGAATTTCAAAAGTGCTTCACTGGTGAATAAAGATTACTTTAGAGGGTGGGGGGGAGAAAGAAAGGAGCTGAAGAAATCATATTTACAAAATCTGGAGTGAGGGCCAAATGAAAAGCGATGAATATGAATAATGGACTTTGCCTTTTTTTTTTTTTTTTATGCCGGATTAACATTATTCAAAGCAACAGAATCAAATGTGGTTATCTCCTGTCCAATGAGCCCTGCATTGAGAAAAAACCACAGTCATATTTCAATTCTTCATTTGAGCCCTGACAATAAATCGTAGTTCTGTGATAGGAGACATTCAGTGGAGAATGTTCAGAACTTAATTCTCTTCTATTTACAATAAGGAGATGAGACAGAATAAGATAAAAGGCGGACTATTTGCCACAGTGTGCACGAGTCTCTGAATGGATGTGCGGGGATGAGTCGGAGTCGGCGTTCCAAGAGAACAGAGAGGGGGGAAAAAGTGACAAAGAGAAATGGAGGAAAGTGTATAAAGTGTGGTTTCAAATGTACGGGCTTCACAATGTGTCTTTATGATCAAATGTAAGAGGAGCTGATGGATCATATGCATGATACTGTTGGAGAGAAAATTTAATGTTCAATAAATATCGCTGAAATAGGTTTATTAAGAAAAAAGGTGAAGGATAAGAACATCGTTTAATGCGGTAAATAAAGATAATCTTGCATTTCAAAGCTACAGCATTAGTTTTTATGAAAAGAAGCAGGACATATTTGCTTTTATTTATAAAAAAAGGCAGAAAGGCTAACATTTTACCAGTTAAAAACAATATCTGGTTTTCTGTGTAGCCTTGATCGGCGCTTGCTGGTGGTCAAACACAGAAAAATTAACATTTCTTTTCACCAAATCAAGCATTTAAACCATCACAGTTAAGAAGAGTCCAATATTTCAACTGAATGTATCAGTCTACAGTGTGAGCTCTGTGGCGAAAGCTTTTAGTTGAACGAAACAATGAATAAATGTAAGAGACATGCTTTGACGCATATGTGGGGGGAAAAAAATGCAGTTTTTTCATTTCATTGTACGCTAAAGTACTAACGCGATTAAAAAGCAGGAGCAGTTTTTTTTTTCCTCCTTTGATGTGTCGCAGATGTAACAAAAAAAAAAATCTGTCAAAATCGGAATTGACTCGTCTGACCTCAGTGAAAGGCAGAAATCGGTAGCAGCCAGGAAAAGTCTAAATGGTGCATGTTAGATATAAAAAGGAAGGGAAAATATATGTTATATGGAGTTGGGGTGTAGCAACAATGGCATAGAGCAGAGCCCCAGCTGACAGAAAAAGAAAAAGAGGAGGAGAGAGATGAGTTTTTTTCTTACATTTAGGCTCGTCCCATATCATTTACATGTTCCCCGTCAGACACCACGTTCTGCTGAGGCAGGAGATGGCTGAGCAAGACTGTGACGAAGGCCGATCCGTCGGCTCTCATTTGCATATTTGCCAATTCTGTTAATTAACTCAACCCACCTAATCAGGGCTAATTGACCTATAAAGAGGAGAGGCCTCATTGTCTCATCCAATCATCTTTATCAGGAGTAGAGGAGGTTGCACTTGTGAATGTGCAGCACTTCCGACATAACTGTATTTATAGACCTTTTCTGAGTTGAAGTATTCCTCTCAGAAAAGACGTTTTTTTATTTTTTTTATTCTCTGAATGATCACAACTGAGCTGCTTTGACGCGGAACAAGACCCGGATAACAAAACGAAGTGTGTGGACAAATTCCCTTCTGAGAAGAGCAGAGAAAAATCAGAGAAGGTAATGACAGCTGGATCGCCTTGACTCTCCGGTCCCCTTTTTCCACAGCGGGGCAGATCCAGGGGACGGCTCCAGCTACAGAGACATAGCTCATTGTGACGTTTCCAGTTATTTCTGGTTGATTAGGGCTATTATGTCTCCGGCTCTGATTTATGTTGTCATTCCCTCTCAGCAGTCCTGCATCGATAGATCTTAATGAATTGGTAAATAAGGGTGAAGATTGCGCCTGACAACACCGCAACATTCCTCATTCATACCAGACAAGATTTATGTAACCAATTAGAAACATAAAAAGCAGGACGGGGGGTTTATTCAGGAGAAAAAAATTGAATAATCTTTCCTTTAGAAACTGAAAACAGATGAGCACTCCTTAACCTCCGATAAGTTGCAGATTTCACATTAAAGGTGAATTTATCTAGGTTTTTTTTTTTTTATTGCCAGGGTTACACTAAACACCTGCTTTTCACAAAATTTATAAGAAAAATTTTTTTTGTAATCCAAAATTGTAAATAGGTAAAATCAATGATTAAAAATTGTCCCCGCAATGAAACCTTTACATGGAAATATTACACTGAAATAAAGCAGTAAAAATGTTGGATCAGTGAACAGGTGTGCGAGGTCAATGTTTTACATTTCACTGATTAAAAAGGCCATTTGCATTTTTTAATCAAACCACGTCTTAATTATTTGATTCTTGTAAAAACGTTGCTCCAGAAATCCTTTTGCGGGCAAATGAAAGCCCGCTTTGTAATCAAGAAAAAAATTTCTGATAAAAGTGCTGATCATCAATGGCCGAGCGACAGGACAGGAAGACCCATAGGGCAAGTGTGAACAGAGGTGGAAAATTAAAGCGGAGTGATACGGCTCCTTTTCCAGCCTCCCTCCCTTCAAGCACATGCAAATGAGGCCGTGCTGCTTAACTGCATCATTTATGTGGATAATAGCGGCATCATCATTACGGGGGGAACTCAAATTAAATTACATCACAATTAGCATAACAAAGTGATTGGTTAAACTTTCAAAACAAATAAAGCCGCACGACTAATGAATGGTGTTAATTGGCCAACAAGCATTCTAAATAAAACACGGAGGTAAACATGTGCTTTAGTTAAACAAACTTAAAATTCTGTTGTTTAAAAAAAAAAGGAGGAAAAAAGGAGAGTTTCATGAATTTCATGAATACTGCTAGTGGGATTTCTGAGTCAAAATTCAAAATTGTAGCATTTAATTTTATTGTGCTAAATAACCTATTATAAGCTAGACTCTAGAGAACAATGTAAATGATCTGCCTTCAGAATGGAGTTTGGCCAATTCTCCGTGTGAGCTAATCACATAGCTCATTATGCATTAGGGTATTAAATTATGAAGAAGAGTCCCTTTCGCATTCCTGCACAAAGCCCTATGAAATGTTAATAATATGCCCACAATAGCCCAATACTGAGCCTGGCTCATACTCATCAATATTTAAGTAAACAAATGATCCCGCTCACCTTTGATAAAGATAATTAGCGCTCCGACAATGAACAGTCTGGTGACCTCTTGCCTTTTTTTTAAACTAAACAGCTGTTTCTAAGAGTTTGTTTTTTTATTTGTCTCTGTCCACCAAAAACAAACAAGTCAATTTTTCAGCCCTTTAAAAACACTGATAATTTAATCTAATTCAAAAACATTTCTTTTTTTTTTTAAGTGGTTATCTTACGCTGGAAATAGCAACACCTGATTTAATACGAGTGCAGAAAGAAAAGTCACATTCATGCAATCACACAGCCACATTAGTGCACGCACTTGTGCGCACGCGGACGCACACACTACAGCAATTCATCAGCACTAATTAAGCAGCAGATTAACAGAGCCCGCAGACGGAGGTTGAACCGCTCCACACTGGGACGACCAACGTGGGGGAAGGCAGCCCGGCAATAAAACACAGCCATTAAATACAGTCAAGAGCCTGGAGTCGACTACGGATGACAGAAGATTGATGGGTGGATGACCAGAAGGATAGATGGATGGATTGATGAAGGGATGGACAAAGTGGAGTGTGTATGACCTTATCTTTTTCCCCTCTCTCTCACTCTCTCTCTCTCTTTTTTTTTTTTTTTACCTGAAGTTGAGGAGTGTCAGAGATCTTGACCGGACAACAGAGAACTCGCCTCTGCCACCGGCGGCGAGGGTGTCTCGCAGCGACGCCCGCAACTCGACTGGTGTCACCGTGTGAAGAGGCAACACTATCTGTGTCATCACTTCAGCCGTGTTTATGGGGGATAGCATCATAAACAAGCCGCCTCCCCCCCCCACACCACCACCACCAACACCACCACCTGCACCACCTCCCCGCCCTAGTTGTACCCCCCACCTCTTGCTCCCTCGCTCTCTCTCCCCTCCTCTTGCCATCTCACTGCCACTGTGCCATTCATGCATACTTAAATCACCCTTGTCCTATTAAAACAGAAAGAAAGACTTTCGTGACAATTATTCTATCATTTCCAGTTGTCAGTGGGGCGATTTCAGACGGGGGGCCCCAGAACAGGTCAGACATGCAGGCCCCAAAAGAAGAGGCTCCAGTTTGGAGAGGGGGAATAGAACGTGAGGGGGAAGGCAGAGGATCTTTCTTTACACACTGAATATATTTAGACAATTTCTCCAACAAGCCACTGATGAACTTTTACATTTATAGGACAACTTCAATTTCCCCTTTAAAAATATATATATATATATATATATTTTTTTTTTGGAATTATTTGAACAACCTTAACATTTATTTAAACTTTTTTTTTTATTTAAATTAAGAAGAAAAAAGGTTTTAAAAAAAATCAGTATAAGAGTGAATGAGCGGACTTCCAGGTGCTCTCTGAATGTGGGTGGGTCCTGTATGTGTGTGTGCGCGCGAGAGAGAGTGTATGAGCAGAGCTTCACATGTGGGCTGCTGTGACTCGTCGGAGGATGCTTGCCGGCTCTGTGCCTGCAAGGTCTCGCTGTTCCGATCACCCATCTGCCTTACTAAAGTAAAAAAAAAAAAGAAAAAAAAAAGGTGTTTCTTTATCTCGCTTGAATATGTGGACTGGCTCTTGAAACAGGGGGACGGAGACAGAAGCAGGGCTGGAGGGACGCTGCTAAGAGAGGTGCAATCGCCGCAAAGGTATGTGTGTCTGCCTCTATTCTGGGGCTCATTCGGAGCTTTTCTTTTCAGTCCTGATTGTGCATAGGTCAAAGTGTGTGTGTGTGTGTAAAGAGTCTGAAAAGGATTAGTGAAAGGCTGAGCGTCAGTCCGCGTCCTACACTGAGCTCTAGCAGAGAGTAAAGAGCACTTTAAAACAATTAGCAACATCACATCTGTGCATTTCCAACCTGCTCGCTGTCACAAAGCACTATGAGTACATGCCAAAAAAAGAGTCACATAAGACAAAAACGACCTACCTTTTAAACAACCAGTGAGAAATCCACTCTCCTCAGTAAGAAGCATTTGAAGAAGTATTCTTAGAAACCTGATGGCATTACTGTGTCAAAAAAAAAAAAAAATGAAGAGACAGTCGCAGTAAACAGAATGAAAAGTAGTGAAAAAGAGAGGAAAAAAATGTAGAGAGGGCAGCTAGCTGGCGCTTACTGTCAAAGACATCACCAGAGAAGTATTTACGGCCGTATTTACAGTAGTGCGCGGGGAGAGCACCTCTGCCTGGTCACGTCTGAGAGACAGTTGCCGTTTCAGCGCTGCCTAATTAAAACAAGTCAGGCAGCCCCGCTGGATTGTTTTGACGCCTGAGGACCAATAGTACACAAAAACCAGTGGCTTGATCGGGGGGGTAGGGGG